ATCAAAAGTTTGACTCTACGATAATGTCAAATGGATTTATTCCTAATTCTTGTGACAAGTGTTTATATACAAAAGTGTATAATAACACTGTAATATTTTTGTGTCTTTATGTTGATGACATGCTAATAATTAGCAATAGACTTAATGGAATTCTAGAAACAAAAAGGTTTCTAACTTCCACTTTCAAGATGAAAGATCTTGGGCTTGTTGACACAATTTTAGGAATAAAAGTTAAGCAAAACAGTGGGGGTTATGAACTTAATCAAACACATTATATTGAGAAAATGCTTGATAAGTTCAAACACCTGAAATTCAAGGAAGTAACTACTCCATTTGATCATGTAATCAAACTTGAAAAGAATGATGGAAGAGCAGTGGCTCAATTAGAATATGCAAGTGCGATCGGATGTCTTATGTACTTAATGCAATGTACTAGACCCGATATATCATTTGCAGTTAGTAAAATGAGTAGATTTACTAGTAATCCAAGTAATGAACATTGGAAGGCAATCACAAGGATATTTGGTTATTTGTTGAAAACCAAAGATCTTGGCCTTCATTATGGTAGGTTTCCTGCTATATTAGAAGGATATACCGATGCCAGTTGGATCTCTGACGTGGGAAATCACAAATCTACAACTGGGTGGATATTTACACTAGCTGGAGGAGCAATCTCTTGGAAGAGCAAGAAACAAACATGCATTACTCTTTCGACCATGGAATCAGAATTCGTGGCTCTCGCTTCCGCTAGTCAAGAGGCAGAGTGGTTGAGGGATCTTCTTTTGGAAGTTCCATTGGCTAAAGACAATGTTTCAAAGGTAATGATACACTGCGATAGTCAGGCCACTTTGGCAAGAGCATTTAGCGAAGTGTATAATGGAAAGTCCAAACATATAGGACTTAGACATTCGTTCGTAAGAAAACTGATTAAGGATGGAATCATTTCACTTACGTATATACGAACAAGCTATAATTTGGCTGATCCGTTTACTAAGCCACTGGCTAGAGACTTAGTAAGAACAACCTCGAGAGGTATGGGGTTGAAACTCCTTGAGTAAGAGTTCCGACAATGGCGGCAACCCAATCTTAAGTTAACAGAACATTAACGTTAAGATTTTCAATGGGTAATAACAAGTCGTTGATTTGGATAATTGTCTAACATTTCATAATTATGTTGACATTAGAAATGAGGGTTGAGTTTTATCTTAAACTCTTAATGAAGTTCAATACCGAGGGTACGTATCTATTGGAAACAGATACTATATGAACTTCACCTATGTGAATTATGAGATGGTGCCGTCTCAAAGTGAGAGTTGGAGTTTCTCTCATGAAAAATTCATGAAACAGGATAGCACATGGTCATAAATAAGTGCTAAGCGAGTTATGCAGAGGAAGAATCTTTAAGGAGTGTGTGTAAGGTAACACCGGTCTATTCATATGGATTCATGGTTTAAAAGCATTGCTACCTAATATTCCGATTAAACCTTGTGTTATTCTTACTAAGGCTAAGTTTAAAATCAAAAGACACTTAACTGTATTAATACTTCTTATGTCCCATTTCTGGAATTATTATTTTGTCATTATTAGAACAAGTGGGGGATTGTTGGAAATAACAATTTATTTCCATTAAAGTTGTTCCAAAATGACAAAGTGGGTGTTATAATAAATGCTTAGTCCCACATTGGAAGAGGAGTAAAATTAAATAGCATTTATAAGGCACTTGGAACAATGTAATTTCCAAAAGAGCCAAAAAGGATAAAGTGCCACATAGTCACATGTGGTGGTGCCAAAACTTATGTCACTTGTCTCATACAAAACACCCCTCGCCGGTGTCGCCATCGGCGACACCGGCTCCGGCTCCGGAACCGGAACCGGATCCGGGGGCGTGGGCGTAGAGGCGCTAGTGGCGGCTTGTAGACGGCACTTGAGCACTTAGGCACGACGCATCGGAGCAATCGGGCTAATTGCGAATTTAATTTTTAATTATCGCTCAGACTTATTCGTTGCCTAGAGTTTGATTTTGAATTTGAATTTGAAACACATGACACTTGACGAAGTGGTGCATGAAATTTTATGTGAACCATTGCAAATGCTCATTAGAGAGTGTGTTCATGAAGAATTGCAAACTTCTGAAAAGACACATGCATGGCTATAAATATATGCTTCATAATTCGAAATCGTTCACTCCAAATTCTGAAATCCTCTTCCATATAATTCCAACATTTTCCTTGCATTCGAAACTTCATCGGTCTTGTGCAGTTTCGAGAAAAAGGCTGACTTATCCTGGGTATTCAGGCCGTTCCAACTCTAAGACAATTTGAGAGTGTGCTTGAAATACTTTTAAGGAAAGTGTTTTCGTTCACGATTCAGTCTGGATCCATTCGACATAGAAGGATTATCTAACATCTTCATCAACCATGATGTCTTCAACCGTCCTTCGTAACTCTTTATCAAACCAAATAGTCGCTTCCTCCATATGATTAGGTTGGTACATTTTTAGGCCAAAAAACAGTTTGACAATACCCATGCAAAATCGAAGTAGAAGAAGCTCACTCTAATGAGAACAATCCCCGCCCATGAAGTTTACTACCATCACACGAAGGCCAAAACAACCCAATCTTACAAATATTTAATTTGAGGCCTAACCTTGGACCTGTATCTCGAATAATGTTATGGCTTTAGCCACTTCCTCTAAACCTCTTATGATTATCTCATCATGAAAATACCATACATGAAGAAGAAGCTTACAATTGTCTCTAATTTGATGAATTATTAGGTCTAACAAGATAAAAAAGGAGTGGCCTTACCGGACCACCTTGTTGCACTTTAGTGGCTTGCATAACATGTTCATCTTCAAGGTACAATCTCATTGTCTGACCATATAAAAACTTAACCTACAAAGAAATAAATTGGCATATCACATCACCTCGCCCAAAAAAAGGCTAATTGATCTACCAAGTTGAAAGCATTTGAGAAATCTATTGTGAGTATAGCTAAAGAACCATCTATATGTAGCTTAATTAACACCCTATTAAAATTGTGCAAAATAACCTCAACACCTGATATCAACCGCCTCCAAATAGAACTTCTAACAATTGGTCGCATCCCATCGTCAAGCTTTAATAACATTGTCAAGGATTCAAAGGCAACAAACTCTACTAAAACATTGGATTTAAAAATAATCATTAAATTAAAACGTAACGTAAGTGAATCATGTCTCAGTTACACGCTCACTTTTTACTTTCATTTTCTTTCAAAAACATCGCATCTTCATCTTCTCCTATTTCATTGTGATTTTTTCTCAGTTCAATCTCCCTCTCTTTCTCTTTGACATCAATTGACGACTCGACCTTTCCCATCTCCTTTTCCACTCTTTTGGTATTTCTGACGACGTTTCCAGTAAGAACAACTTTTTCAATTTTACGAATGTGCATAGGGTTCATTATTTACTTGATGCTCGTTTTTTATTTGCTTAAAAAAACAGTGTTCAATTACAAACGTACTTATTATTTCTTTGAAAAATTCAACTTTTAGTTATAACTTTGGATTAATTTGCAGCTCCAAAACACTAATCGAAATTGAATAGAGAGTTTGGTAGGACTTGGTAAAAAATAAGCATAAGTCTAAATTATTAAGTGTGAATTTAAAAAAAGTTCAACAAATCTCTTATTGGAGGGACAACACACTCTAATATTCTCATATAATGGAGGGTGATCTCTTAAGGTGTGCCTCAGGAAATACACGATTTTGTAAACGGAAAACAACACACCTTATATGATCATCACACGCGCGTAATTAATCTAATTTTAAATAAAGTCAAAACCACCACAAAACAACGACATATCATTCAATATGTGTCCATTTTAAAATACCGTATCACTTGTAAAATCTAACAAATTATTCTAAAATATCTTTGAGACACTTTAGAACTCCAAAATATAAATTTACGCGTCATTAAAAAATTAAATATTATCAATTTTAAAGGCAAAAATAAAAGATAAACTAAAAACTGATTAAATTCAAAATATGAAAATTATTTTCGTAAATAAAATGAAACAAGTTAAATTATTTTTTATTTGTTGTTTTTAATTCAGATTATATTCAACATAATTTTTTTTATTTAAGAGAAAGAATATGTTTAACATTTTAAACAATTAGAATACCTCTTGTTACCTCCAACAACTTTCACATGATATTGTCTATCAAATGCATTCCACGTGCCTTTCCACCACCATTACTTTCCTCACTAATGGAATTTCAATATATATATATATATATATATATATATATATATATATATATATATATATATATATATATATATATATATATATATATATATCAAACTATATAAATTTAAATAACTTATCTCAAACATAAAAAAACTCTTAGAAAAGTTATTACTATAAATTAACAAGATAACTTAATTCTTAATTAGCAGACAAAATAGATGTGACATGTCCTCTTTACATATATTTTCTGTCTCTTTACTTTACTTTTTCTTACTAAAATTCCTGTCTCATACATTTTTCCAAAACAGAACCTCCCCAGTTTTTTTATTCTCTCTTTCCCTCCTTCTATCTTAACCGTAGATTTCCCACTCTAACCTCATTAACATAATTAAATAAACACCACCACACAAATTTCACAACTATATCATATATATTAATTCTGCTACATTTCATATCATATCATATAGTACAAAAAATAATAACATTACTGTTAATTTTTCAAACTCTTTCATCTCTTGTCACATACCCAGTTTTGTCTTACTTACAGAACTTGTGTTATAGTTTTTCTACAAAGGGATGAATACTAACATACGCTATAGGAACTGTTAATTAATATTCGTTGCTGCAGCACTTTTTCTTTCTTTCTTTCTTTCTCTGTTGTTGTGTGCGTTTTGTATATGTTTTTTTTACCTTATTATAAGGCAACAAAGAAAGCTATACTTTTTTGAACTCAAACAGAAGAACCAGCAGGTTTGTCTCTCCAAAAACATGGATAATGGTTGCTTCTCTACGCCGAGGCGCGATTTTCCTGCTGGTTTACGAGTTCTTGTCGTCGATGATGATCCAACTTGGCTTAAGATCCTTGAAAAGATGCTCAAAAAGTGTAATTATGAAGGTTTGTTTCATTCATTCAATTCAATTCAGCATACTTCTTCTTCTGTTATGTGCTAGATTCTTTTAAGTTAGTATTAAAAGTTTTTAAAGTATGATTCTTTCCAATCTCCTGGAACAAAACTTGAATTATTAGATGGTAACCAAATTAGTAGCTTTGGATTCTGTTTTCCATTTCTGCTAGCAACATTCTGATTCTATTCTGTTATTTGATTCAGTGACCACATGTTGCTTAGCAAGACAAGCTCTAAACTTGCTTCGCGAAAGGAAAGACGGGTATGATATAGTCATCAGCGATGTAAACATGCCTGACATGGACGGTTTCAAGCTTCTCGAGCATGTTGGACTTGAGATGGATCTTCCTGTCATTAGTCAGTTCTCTATCAATATATACTATATTCGAGTTTTTTAGTTCAATGATAACATTGTAAAATCCTTTGATCGAATTGATTGAAAAATTGAAATTCGTCGTTGACAAAAATCACACTTTGCAATGCTGTTCAGTGATGTCTGTGGATGGAGAAACAAGCAGGGTGATGAAAGGCGTTCAACATGGAGCATGCGATTATCTTCTTAAGCCTATAAGGATGAAAGAGCTGCGAAACATATGGCAACATGTGTTCAGAAAAAGGATACATGAGGTTAGAGAATTTGAAAATTTCGAGAGTTTTGAGAGCATGCACTTGATGAGAAACGGATCGGATATGTCTGAGGAGGGGAACATGTTTGCGTTAGAAGATATGACAACGAAGAAGCGCAAAGATGTAGATAGCAAACACGACGACAGAGAATTTTTGGATTCGTCTTCCTCGAAGAAAGCTAGAGTAGTTTGGTCTGTAGATCTTCATCAGAAGTTTGTTAAAGCAGTGAATCAGATTGGATTTGATAGTAAGTTTCTTGTAAAGGTTCTCTACATTGTTATTCGGAATCATCATTGTTACTTCTATAAATCCAATTGTTATGCTTAACCTAGAACTTTTCTAAACAAGTGTGTTTAAGTAAGCAACTTAATTAAGAACTTATGAAATAAGCACTTATTACATAAACACTTATGCATAAGTAATTTCCTTAAATAGTTGTAAGTTGTTTTCATAGACTATCCTGAGGAGCATGTCGAATTAAGCAGAAAACGACTAATGAACAATTTTAAACTATTTTCATAATCACTTTTAAATATAGAAAGAAGTGCTTACATCATGACAAAAGCCTGAATAAGTTGTAAATAAGATCTTCCAAGTGTGATTTCCCAGCATAATCTGTTTGTTGATCATATCTTTTGTGCATAAAAGTATTTGTAACAAGTGAATTCTGTTTGGCAGAAGTTGGTCCCAAGAAAATACTAGATTTGATGAATGTTCCATGGCTGAGTAGAGAGAATGTTGCTAGCCACTTGCAGGTGATGCTATAATTTCACTTCTTGAATATGCATAAATGAAAAAACAGCAGGACTGAAAAGGAGATTACACATATTTGTGCAATTTTTTTCTACAATTTTGATGTTTGAAATGAGTTTCTAATGAGAAATTTTTTGTTGCGCAGAAATACCGGCTTTACTTGAGCAGGCTTCAGAAAGATAATGAACAAAAATCTTCGTCAAGTGGAATGAAGCATTCCGATTTACCTTTAAAAGACGTAGGAAGTTTTGGTTTTCAGAACTCGGCCGAGAAGCAACAAAACGACACTTCAATTGATCGATACAACTATTCAGAAGGAACGTTACAACATCAGAACATGGAAACTAAAAGTCACGAGAGTAATCCCAAAGGAATTGTTCCACATTCCACCACGGCAGAGAAAGTAAAAGCTTTTGTCCCTCTTGAATCAGAAGGAAAACATGCAGCATTCCAAAGCACCATGTCGACGACACAGTATTCTTGGACTGAAATTCCGAAAACACAGCTAAAAAAAGAACAAAAGCCACTTGTTCATCCAGAGGATAACTTCAACCTATTGCCCTTACATGGTAAGCAGCACAACATTCAAGTTGATCAATCACAGTCAATTGCTTCAATTAGTTCCACTCCCTCTATGGCGAAGCAAGATGTTACTGCTTGTATAGAAACAAAACCAAGATTTTCTGATTACAAGAAAGACTACACTAGTTCAGTGAGTTCGATGAGAAGTTCAGTTGACACCTTTCCTTTCCAACCCGGAAACCTGATGATGAATTATCAACCTTCACAACCCACTTCAACCACAAACATCGGCTTAAAAACACAGTCATACAATAATCTCAGTTGCATTTCTGATCTAGAGTCTTACCAAAGAAACCTACTTTTTGGAGGTGAAGCTGCTTCTGCCGCGCCTTTGGACGAAGACCTATATTTCTATTGGCATAATATGAACTTCGGTCAGCAGAATATTGAGATGCCTGAGTATTATGATCCAGGGCCTCTCACAGAAATTCCAAACCACTTATATGAATCAGCAGATTATTCAGTAATTGATCAAGGTCTATTCATAGCATGATAAGCTCTGATATTTCCTGCTTATATTCAGCAAAAATCAGAATTTCATGCATGAAATGACAGATTTAATGTTTGTACTAGTAACCAGCTACATTTATCTATTATTGAACAATTATAAGGATTGGGGGATTCTTTTTCCTATCATCAAGGATTTAGACATTATTACAACATACCAACATGTATAAAAGTATGGGGTGATAACAAATATTAAGCTTAAGTAATAACCTTGCGTCCTTATATATTTTGTTCCAAGACTTGTTTGAAAAAAATCCGCATTGTAACTTCGGGTTAACCAAGTATAAAGGACCGAATATTTTTCAAATTGCAGTTGTTTTTTTCTGCTCCTATGGATATTACTAACCATGTTAGCTGTTTGAACTATGCTAACCATACACATTATAGCAAAAAAGTTGATGTATAAAAATAGCACAGCACTAAAAATAGAATTAATATTTTAAGTTTACACCAGAACAACTACTATATGAGCTGCATTAATATTTTAAGGAAAAGATTCTTCTAATACATTCCCAGTAAAATATTTATGTTCTTGTAGCTTACGATTCGAATGGTTAGTCTCAAAGTGGTGAGCCACTGGCAAATTTATTTATTTGTCAAAAACAAAAAACAATGGTAATTTTAATCCATGCAAATTAATACCAACTAAAGAATATTCATGCCCCAGGTATATATATATATATATATATATATATAATATAACCTTTAGGTATATATAGCCTAAACCTAGTAAGTAACAGATTTACTAAATGGGAAAAAAAAAGTCTACAAAATTTTCCTTCTAAATGTGAAAACATATCACGAAATGAGCCTCCAAAAGATCCTCTTACAATCAAACGATAACCATGGTGTATTAACTTGTTAGTATACTATATTTGACAGCATGTTCTTCGAATACAGTCTCAGGTAACCAATTTCATGTTCTCAATGCTGAATATTTGGAGAAGCATTTTCCCATGAGGTATTTGATAATGAAGTTCCTGATTGCCTTGTTCGGTTATTTATCTCTGTAATACGTTTGGGATTATTGGTGCTGATTGTAGGCTTCCGTGATTTTCCCAAATTTTTTATTGTGCTAGAACTAGAAGTTGCTTTCCTTTGTATTTGAACTTTCTCTTCTTCCTTGGATTTAGTTTCTTCCATCCTCTGCAATAAAATAGAAAAATGGATAAGCTATTATGGCCATCAAAGTTTCCATAATGTGCGCACGGCTAATGTATTTGACAGGGATAAGAACTTACTTCTTTGCGTTTTATTGCTCTTTCTTCACTTCTGAATCTAAAGGGCAATGATTTGGTAGGGAGTCGGGGATTGCTTTGGGCGGTGCTTGAAGATTTCAGGCAGCTGTTCACAAATTTACGGAAAAAGAAAAGACAAATAAGACTTCACTTTTTGATGCATGTTATAACTTTCTGTTTCAAATTTATAAGACATAAAACAAGGAAAAAAAGTTCAGAAGACAAAATACCTTCTGCCTTGAGAAGGAAGATTTGTTGGAGCTTGATTTAACAAATCGTGAGATGCCTGAAAAGGGATATCTTAGCAATAGCACAATTTCTAGAAAGCTTGATTTCAATTAAATGTTTGTGGTTTTTAAGGAAAATCGCCAAAATAAATGTACATATGAACAAATAGAGGATAAGTTAATACCTGTGTTGCTGTTCGTGTTGTCTCGCCAGCACCAGAAGAGAGATTGATAGACATGTGGAGTGACCTTGAAGTTAGTCTCTTCTCCATTGAGACTCCAATAGACTTCAAACTTTTTGCAACAATGTTAGTTCCGTTTCTGGGTTTAACTGATGCAGTAGTAGTGGTTTTACTTGCTACACCAGTGCCGGATGGAACACTGACCGACATGTGAAGTGACGATGTAGCCAACCTCTTATTCTCAACTAAGCTTCCAACAGAATTCTTACTTGGTAAAAACCTGTTTGTGGCATTTCTTGATCGTAAAGCTGCATCAGTTGTTTTGCTTGTTTCACCAATGCCAGAAGGAAGACTGATTGATGTGTGGAGTGACTGTGCGGTTAGTCTCTTCGTCTCGACTAGGCCTCCAATAGAGTTATCACATTTCAAACCACTGATTATTCCAATTCTACGTGATGATACAGAAGCAGAAGATTTCCTTTGCTCACGGGACGGAGGCAGTTTTTCAGCCCTAGTTTTGGCCAATGATTTTGGAGAAGAATTTATTTCTCTTCCCTTGACAGGCAAAGCCAAAACTTCCTGAACAGTAATGCCCTGCAGCACGGGAACAATAAATATTCAGAACGGCCACAGACACAAAAGTAATCATGAGAAGATAAAAGGAAATGAAATATAAAAAAAGAAAGAGAGCGAAAAAAAAAATAAAAAAAATTACAGGATCAGGCGCCTTCTCTTCAATGGAGGTGACAGTATTCTTATGGACTTCAACATGATCAAGCTGATTAGAATTATCCACAAGCACGCAACTTTCTACATTAAGATTCATATCATTGCAAGGATATAGGACTTTCTCTGCTACTTCCACCTCAGAAATGTCTAAATCATTTTCTCCGTCATCCCGTTTACATTGGTTTGTATCATCACAAACAACAACATGGTAATCGACGGTATCTTCATTTATTTCTATATCGGTTATCTCAATGCTGTCGGCTTCTGACTTTATTTCCAAATCATTTTCTCCGCCATCCCATTTACATTGGTTTGTATCATCACGATCAACAACTTGGTAAACAATAGTCTCTTTATCTATCTCTATATTGGTTATCTCAATGCTGTCGGCTTCCGACTTTATCTCCAAATCAGTTTCCCCGCCATCCCATTTACATTCGTTTCTAACATCACAATCAACAACTTGGTAGTCGACAATATCTTTACTTATCTCATCATTGGCCGTCACAACGCTGTCAGCTTCCGACGTTCTCTGAGCAGACACATCAGTGCAGTTTCTTTCAAAACTTTCCGAATCAAAAGTTCTATTTGCTTCTTCGCCCAATGCAGCCGCCTTCTCAGCTGCCTTTCTCTTATAATGAGCCTCAAAGTAAGCTTTTTTAGCAGCAACAGAACCTGGTTTTGAATATTTTTCAGCTTCCTCAACATACCGGTTTTGCGTGAATACCGACCATTTCTCCCAATTCAAGCTTTCGGACATATACCTCCCAAAAGAGATAGATTCTCCAAGAGCACGAAGAGGGTTACCCTGAAATTAAAAAAAAAAAAATTAATATTAACATAACAAAACATCACAGACTAATAAAAACTGGTAAATTGGAATGAAAATTTGAAATTTCAAGCTATGAACATCCATAACAAAACAAACAAGAAAAAGATGAATGGATTTACCAATGACAACGAAACCCATGAGTGATTATTCTCATCCTCAATGAGGACAACATGAGGAGGAATTACAGGGAAATTTTCAATGGAAAACATAAAGTGATATTGAAATAAAAGTTAAAAACATTAAAATTCAAAAGATTTATATAACAATCGTAAATTAACGCCATAACAGAAAATTCAAGTTACATAAACAAGATTATCAAAACAAAATCCAAAATCGAAACAAATAATGCAGTTACAGACACTAAAACCGCTCAAAATCTTCTCTTTCCGCTAAACAACCAATCCCAAACATAGAAAAAAACACCATCTCTATTTCTCAGTAACAAACAAATCAAAACCAGCCCATCAAAATTGAACAAACAGGGTTAAAAAAACAAGTAAAAGTTGAGAATTTGAACCGAAAACTAACCTCGTGTGGGGCGCAACTAGTGTCAGAGGGAACGGAGAACGATCGAAAGAGGCAAGGGGAAGACTCAGCCATAACGAAATGCAGTAAACGAAACAATGCGGTTAACCTAAAATTGAATTGGTTTTGACATGAACGTGAATGAAATTTGAAACTGGTTTTCACTATGCTTCTTAGTTCAAAACACTGGATTAAGATTCTTATTAGAATTTAGAATATGAATTTTCTATTAATTATTAATTAATTGTATTTAAAAACTTATTTTTCTAGCTGGATTCAATCCAGCAATACAATGGATATTAAATATTTGTAGTGATTATTATTTTTCCTAATTAACGTCTAGATTTATATTTTTTTTATTAATTTCCTTTTTTATTATTTCCGGCCGTTAGATTTTCCTTTCTGTTTGCATTATCATTATTCTTTTATTAAGTCAAAATTTGGTAATTTATATTTATATTTTATTTTTTATATAATGCTTTTGGTCTTTGTTTCTAGTTCTAGATGGATAAACAAAACTAGGGGCTTAGCTCCTTTTATTTACTTAAAAAAGATAAACTAAAAATAATTGTTTAAGTTTAGTTAAAAAATATTTTTGAAAAAGTAACTTGTTTTATAAAAAAATGTTTAATAGAGGTTTCCATCCATTGAATATTGTTTTTTTATTATAAAAAAGGGAGAATTTGAAAGAAAGTAAAATATTAAAATATTACTTTGAAATGAGCTATTTTTAGTTTCTTTAAAAAATAATTATTGATCAATTATTTTCATTTAAATAAATTGATTTTAATTATTTCTTTTTTTTTTTACAAGAAAGTGATTTTGAGTGGGTTAACTAATAATACTATAAACAATTGATGTCTAAATTTTCTAAAATGTGTAACAAAGGGTCTTTACTGGATTGTTACCACTATATTTTATTACAATAAACAAAGATAAATATAAATAATTTATTAATTATGTATAAATTATAATGAGTGAAAAAGAGGTATTATGTGAATTTGGATAAATGAAATATAAATTAGAAGGAAATATAGATAGATACATAATAATGGCCAACGGGTCTGTGTCAAAATAATTAAATAGTATGCTAATGGTTAACGGCTATGCTTAATAGGCTATGGACCCAGCGTGCCCTTTTTTGTTTATTCATTTTTTGATAGATTGGTTGGTTGGATTTTTGGATTCATGATTAATACTAACTTTTAAAGAAATTTTAGAGTTTCTCTTAATTTTTTTTTACAAAAAGATGGATAGTCACTTATAAATTGACAAGTGTATATATGAAATAAAATATTATTTTTAAATTAATAAAATAATATTAATTATTAGTTTGTATAATTAAAACATTTAATGTATCTTAATATTTAGTTAATTTATTGAATTTGTATGAAATATTTAATTTATATGAATTAATTAATTTATTAAATTTATATAAATTATTTGAGTTGGTTGGATTAATAATTTTATTGGACATATTTGAAATAATTGATTTAATTTGATTATTTAACTTATATGATAAATTCTATTTGGTATAGTAATATAGAATTATTAGATTAATTAATTGGGCCTATTAGGGGTGTGAATAGATATGAGTTATTAAGTTCATTGGAATTATTAGGTTAATGAAATTGTGAGAGTTTAACAAGAAGGGAGAAAGAGTTAGAGTAGAGATAAAAAGATAGAAAAAAAAAAAAAAAAGAGGCAAAGAGAGAAGTGGAGAAGAAGAAGAGAAGAACCAAGAGAACTCAAAAAATTCAACAAATTTAAGGTAAGGGTGGGTTTTCACTCATTTATTGGGATTATTTGATAATTATTAATGAGTAGAAACATATTTAGAAATAAACCCCTTGATAATTGTTAGGTTTTAATGACAATCTTTGACATGATTAATTTTGATTGAGATTGATATATATTGGGGTATTTTGTTACCGTTCTTTGAAACCAATTAAAACAAAAGTTAGTAGGATTTTTATTTGAAATTAGTTAGGATTAATCCAATTGGAAGTTAAAATGAAATGCGATGTGAATTTATGAGTTTAGAATTCTGATTGAATGTTATGCAATGTGTTTAGTTGTGATGAGCGTTGAGCTGGAAAAATGGGTTTGTAAATTAAGTTGATTAATTTATGAATGGTGTCATGAGGTTTAATTTCTGCAATTTGAATATAGTATTTGTGAATCTTGTTTTTCATTCTCATGCGTGAAACGCAGTCTGCACATGCTTGAAAATTGGTTACTATGAGTTTGCTTGAAATGTTCTGCTGGCTATTTTATTGAATTGAAATGCTACTTTAGATGATGATAAAGATTGATTATGCCATCATGCTAGTGTTAGAGAATTATGAAATTAGAAGTGCTATCAAACTAGACCAGTTAGAAAATAGAAATGTAGTATATAAAATAATTATTGAATGGTTATTAAATATTAAAACTATGTTAATTATTGAAACCTCATTAAATATTAGAACTATTTAAATATATTGAATATTCTTGTATATTTAATAAAAATTAATATATTGGTATACAATAGATACTCATTCAATATTTGAAGCAAATCCAATTGAAATATATTTATATATTGTAAAACAGTAGTGCAAGATAAAAAGAAATTGGTAAGAATGAAAAGTACCCCTTCTTTTTATGGTCTTGTAGCGCCATTCTTATAATATGGCGATGGAAATTAATTGAAATGAACTGTGAATCACCCACCTTTTTCCAATACTGTAACGATAGTGTTCTGGTCTGGGCCCGACCTCGGTCCAGCCCAATACCTCGCACGGCCCAATAAGTGAATTGGCCACGCCGGGCACGCGCGCCCCGCAGGACGGGCGGAACACACCACTGGACACAGGCGACGCGTCCAACAGCATCTCGCCGTCCCCTCTTATCAGCCGAACAGGACGCACCCCAGCGCATCGAAACGAGACTTTGGTTCCTCCCCAACCTCGCGAGCTCCCCTCCGCGAGGAGAACAACGTGCCCGACGCACGTTCTCCACGTGCTCCCCTCCGCGGGGACATGTCATCAGCCAACTACCCACCTCCGAAAGAGCAGGTCAAACTCACTTTTCGGAGATCTAGGAGCGGTTGGACTAGGGTGAAGACCACGTCCTGGTCTTCACTACGCCACGTAAGCCATAGCAGTTATTAGGGTTGGGCCTGGTCATCCAGTCCATCTCAAATGACCGTTGGCCTAGCGCTGGGGTCTCTCTATAAATACCCTCTTCCTCAAGAGGGTCAGGTAACACACTTTTTACCCCTCTTTCTGTACTTCGCCATCGCTCTGCCCAACTTCTCACTTTGCCATCAGAGTGTCTTGCAGGTACACCCCCTTTCTTCCTCATCACCGGTGAGTAAGCAGCAGTCCAACAGAGTGTGGCCAGTCCGTGATCCCCTTCTGATCAGGTCAGATCAGTGGCGCCGTCTGTGGGAACAGAAACTTCCCGTTACTCCGAGCAGAAAACCAAAGTTTCACCAATACTCCACGATCATGGCTAGCCCACACCGCGACGGCACTTCGCACGACCTCGCGCTCAACGTCGCCACCAACGGAAACAAGCAGATGGAAACGACGCGTCCGGCGGAAACCGATGAGAGGGACGGCCAAACTGCCTCGCCGTCATCCGCGGAGCGGCCCCTTCAGGCCGACCACCGGCCCCCAGGTCCGCCAGCATTCCAACCCGTTCCCATCTCGGCGGGAGCAGACCCGACGGTGGCCGCCCTCTTCGTGGCCATCAACCAGACGAACCAGCTGCTGGCCCAGCAAAACGCGAGAATTGGAGCATTGGAACACGTCGACCCTCCGAGGTACCCCCCTGTGGGAAGACCAGAACGGAGGTTCGAGGAGTCTCTCACCTCGACCCAGAAATCGCCGGCCACGGCTGGAGAGGCACCGCGCACAGGTAGCACGAGAACGCTCCAGGTCCCCAGCAAGACAAGTTCGTGAGCGGAACCAAAGCACCGCGGCGATCCCGACCAGGGATCCCCGAGGCGAAAACTCAGGCAGGAGGTCGAGAACTCGAAACTAGGGCCCTGTCTTGAACGACTCGTCCCCCCATCGGTCCCCGGCACCCAGCGACGAGGACGATTACCGCACCCGCTGTCCCGGGAGATCATGGCTGCCCCCATACCCCAAGGGATGGAGAAGCCCCCGACGCTGTCGACGTACGACGACACATCCGACCCGGACGACCACCTGGAAGACATCGAGGCCATGCTCGATTACCGAAACGTCCGGGGGGCCATCAAGTGCAGGCTCTTCCCGACGACTCTGAGGAAGGGCGCCATGACCTGGTATAAAAGTCTGGAGCCCGAATCAGTTACGTCGTGGAAAGTCTTGAAGGACCTGTTCTCCAAACACTTTACAGCGTCCCGACGCCACCCGAAGACAGAAGCAGTCCTCGGGGCGATCATCCAGGGCCCCGACGAACCTCTCCGAAAGTACATCGAAAGATTCACTCGGGAAGCAGTACAGGTGACGACGTTAGACGAGATGAAACGCTACTTAATGGAACAAGGTCTGCGCCACGACTCCAAGTTCTACGAGGCCGTAGGCATACACCGGCCAACGTCCCTCCAAGATTTCCTCGACAGAGCCGCGCATTACATCCGATTTGAAGAAACACAAGCGGCCAACTCCGCCCGAGACACCTGAGACAGGGAGACCCCCCGCGGGCACCGAGACGACGGAGCCTCGAGCCACCGACGAGGAGGAGACCGTCGTCGAGAAGACCGCCCCCGCGAGCCCCGCGAACAACGCGAACCGCGCGGCCCAGCCGACAGGTTCACATAGTACACGGCCTTAGTCGCTTCACGCGAGCGCATACTGGCCGAATGCGCCAAAACCGAATTCGTGCAGGGAGGTGTCCGTTTTCCGCGACCAACACCCCCCAAACCCAACGTGGACAAATCGAAATACTGCCGATTCCACAGGAGTCACGGGCACGTGACAGAAGACTGCATCCATCTCAAAGACGCGATCGAAATTTTGATCAAATACGGTCACCTGAAGAGATACACCCGAGGAGGCGAACCACCAAGACAAGAGGCCCCAGAAGCCAAGAAAGTCGAGGAA